TAATACAGTGGGGGAAATTCGTTTAAACGCAATGTCATTTTTGCGTTTATTTTCAACACAAAAGATCGAGACAAAAAATCAAATATAGTTTGTCATAGCCCATCAGAAGTCTCGTATTTGAGAACACAATTTGAACGGAAGTTCATTGTGGTCTCTGAAAAAATCCAATAAAGGTGATTTTAGAGGGGAAATTCGTTTAAACGCACACTAACGTAAAGCCGCATTGAGCGTACCTATGCTCCTGTTATCTTGCGCATCTGTCATATTTACACTGTATAGCCCTCGTTCGCCATTAACACGAGTTTAAATTTGCGTTGCGCGGTAGTTGTTGCTTGTTTTCGGCAAAATGGGTAAAGGAAAGTATTTAAGCCAGTCGGAGCAAATACTGGTTCGAGAACTCAAAAGTCGCGGTGAGAGCAATCGCAAAATTGCACGTGTGATCCACAGATCGGAAGCAGCAATCAGGAACCTGCTGAAAAAAGGCAAGACGTATGGCGTAAAAAAGAAAACAAAGGGAAATTCGAAGATCACCAACCGTGTCCGAAACCAAATCATACAAATGGGAGACTCTGGAAACTTCTCTGCTGCGTAAATCAAGCAAGAAATGGGGCTTTCCATTTCTAAGAGGCGTGTATGGCAGATTCTACATGGAAGTGGCCACTTAAAGTACACCAAAAAAGCAAAAAAACCCAATCTTCAACCGGCCCACATTAGCGCCAGATTGAATTTCGCTAAAAAATACATGTCTTGGACTACGGAATGGGACAATGTTATTTTTTCTGACGAGAAGAAATTCAATTTGGACGGCCCAGACTGCACCGCATATTATTGGCACGATTTGAGGAAATCTCCGCAGGTTAAGTTGAGCAGGAACTTTGGAGGTGGTACTCTAATGTGTTGGGCCGCTTTTTCGATCCATGGAAAGACCCCTATTGCCACCATTTCAACCAGGATGAATTCGGGAAAGTACTTGGAGCTTCTGGAAGATGTTTTGATCCCGTTTACTGAAGACGTTATGCCGGAAAATTTCGTATTTCAACAGGATAATGCAGCAATTCATGTCAGCAAGCAATCTTTGAAATGGTTTTCTGAACGAGACATCAGTCTTTTGGATTGGCCAGCTCGTAGTCCGGATCTAAATCCTATCGAGAACTTGTGGGGCATCCTGGCACGACAGGTTTACAAAGGCGGAAGGCAGTTTAAAACAGTTCGTGAACTTGAGTCAGCCGTAAGAGAAGCCTGGAGCTTGATACCTGATACAACTCTGCAGAAGCTGGTGAAATCAATGCCGAACAGAATTTTCGAAACTATTCAGAAAAACGGAAAGCAAACGAAGTATTAACTATTGTTTATTGTTGATTTTTGAACTGTGAACTCGATTTGATTAATAAAACTAAAAGTGCGTTTAAACGAATTTCCCCCCCAAAATCACCTTTTTTGGGATTTTTTCAAAAGTCATTATGAACTTCCAATCAAATTGTGTTCTCAAATACGAGACTTCTGATGGGCTATGACAAACTATATTTGATTTTTTGTCTCGATCTTTTGTGTTGAAAATAAACGCAAAAATGACATTGCGTTTAAACGAATTTCCCCCACTGTAGAATTATAATGTAAACAAATGAAACAAAAAGGAAGGATCTCACCCGAATGATCTGTAACTAGCCCACCTCTTCTTGATTCGTAAGATCAATTGTTTTCGCAAATGGAGCTCCATCTCCTTGATCCTGATAATAATAAAATCAGTTCCCCCTTGCTGTGGCCTCGGGAAGAAGTGCATCGGAATAAACGCACCGTCATTGCAGCATTGTCGATGAACATCCGGATGTTGGCTCACGATCCCCGTTCCGATCAGCTCTAACTGTTCCACTCTCAGATTCAAAAATTCCAATACGCAAAAACACATGTTTGCAAGAAACTTCACACTTTGTTAAACACGGGACGGAATTCAAATACGTCACTTCTTCAGCGCGACCTACTTTGATCACCCAAATACTCGAATAATAAATTATAATCAACAAACTTCCTCTACTCAATTCATTATATAGTCAAGCGATTTTCCACAGCCATGGCGCTGTTCCTCTGGTAGGAAGTAATAAGTAATTGAGAGAAGCGGCAGTAATTTACTTTTAATGCATATGCAGGTCGGAAAAAGTGAACGAAAGTCTGAAAAAATTAGTCAGGGACTTTGTCGTTTTGTTAAACAAGCTACAATTAAATAGAAACAGTATTTTCCCCATACATTTTGTCCGCTTTACCACCGGTTTTAAAAGAGCCAACAATAAAAATTCAAAAGTGAAAATGTTGTCTCACGAGCAGTGATGCCAAATTTTTCAGAATTCCATCATGCATTGTTCTAATTGGCAGGATCGAGTTGCAGGACTTCGTGTAAAGCGATGCAGTTGGGAATAGGTATGGCTAGTTCAAAACTAATTTGAGGCAACGGTTCTGTAGTTCTTGTAGTTCCTTCAATCGAGACTTACTAACTGTGCCCCAAATCGCTACCATATACTGGAGTATTGCAAGGATCAGCGAGAAGTATAATTTCATTAATCAGGTACTCGGGATAAACGAGGAGATTTTTCTCAGTAGTCCACATAAACAACTCAGTTTCCTTTTAAGTTGGTTGATGTGTACAGATCAACTCATCGTGGAATCCAACGTAAGCCCCTAAAAGGGATACTCAGCTACTTTCTCTATGGTTTGACCATGTATTTCCAGCGTTGAATGAGGACCGGTTCGTCGGCGAGATGAGTGAAACAGCATGTATTTTGTTTTGATTAAGATAAGCGAAAGTAGGTTCCTAGCTTACTGCCTTGTGGTACTCCAGTGGATATATGACACAAGTCACTCCAGTGTTCTCCAATTGCTACATACTGTTGACGGTTATTGAGATAACTCTCCAATATGGCTTTTGTTACACCTCGTATTCCAAAAAACTCAATTTTTTATATCAAAATACCATAGTCAAAGGTGCGTATCGTCATGGGGCCCCTGTAAAGGGATACTAGTTAAACAAATCCTAAATGAGCGCTGTTTAATTTCCATTTTAGCTATTCACGCTAACGGAGTTCTACGGTATATCACAATTGCCATTTCGTTGCGAGGTAAGGTGGTACATGTGCTATTTCAATAATTCAAACCAAACACACAATAAGAATTATTTCAGTGCCGTCCAGCGCTTTGTGAGAGCATCGCGACTAAGTTGCGTCGTACGGCTGACCAGGGCCCCTATTCATTGACGTTTTTTTTTTTTGAAGAATAAACATTATGTTTTTAATAAAAAAATACTGAAATCGTTGAAAAAAATTTTTTTTACTAGCTATATGACTGAAAAAAATTATAATTTTTTATTGAACACCCGTTAGTACACATGTGAGCTTCCTGTATAAATTATAACTCGAAATCCTCACCACCAAGAAAGTTACTGTCTTCGAGAACGTTGTTCAGATGACCAAGCCTTTCCCGAAGGTGGACCAATTAGTTCAGAGCTCACTCACTACGCGGCGCTAGTGTACATGTGTAGTTCCTGTAAAAGCTATATCTTCATATTCTGAGCACCTAGCAATGTTATATAGGTGACCAAAGCTCAATCAAAGCTCAAAGCTGATTATTCAAGAATTCTTTCACTACGCAGCTTTAGTGCTGCCAGTGTCATGCAAACTTCCTGAATGTGCTAACGTGGACTCCCGGTAATTTAACTGCTTTTATTATGAACAATGTTAATTTGAACCCCGTTAATTTGCGCGCAAACTAAAAATAGTATAAACGATATTTAGTGCATGGAATGGAGTAAAGAAAAACGGAATAGCACGTAACGGAATGCAGAATCAAAGAAAATTAGCAAATAAGGCTGCCAAAAACACGGTTTTCTGATGCTCATAGGCATGCTTGGCATACACAGTTTTGGCCACGAACTGCTCATTTGCTAATAACTTTGCACACAGTTGTTGAGACATAGTTCTGTTTGAAACAGTTGATAGAATAGAATTTAAGCTTGTTATAGATACGTAAAAAAAAGTAGATTTTAATTCTAGTTATAAACTGTATTTGTTTTTGATTTATAAAAATGAAATGAGAAATGCTCACTGCACATCTCGGAATTTAAATGTAAAACTCATTGGTGTTGATTCAAATGTTAAGATTTACCTACTCTTTGCATATCTATAGTAAACTATGATCCTAATCTATCAATTACTTTAAAGAAAAACAAATTTCAACAACTGAGTGAAAAGTTAGCAACAAATGAGCAGTTGATGTATACAACAGTGCATGCCAAGCATGCTCATAGGGTTTCTAGAAATTCAAATAAAAATGAGCCCCGTTAATGCACGAAGAATCGTTCAAATTAACGGGGATTCACGGTAAAGGGTGAAACGGTCAAAAATTGGTCGACCTAAATTTGGTGTATTTTTTTTTTAATCGTGCACTAAGCCTTTAAACCACGCTCTCGAAGAAACATTAGGAATAATTGAAAGTAGCCACCGTCCAAGATTTCCAGTGTCCCAATCGGTTTACCAACTCGAAAGGGTACTCTGACGCACTAAATGGTAAAATTCATCGTGTGAAATGTCATAAAATTTGCCTTCCTTTGCGAGAGAGTCCGCCTTCTCGTTGCCTGGGATTGAGCAATGTGAGGGGACCCATACTAAAGTAATCATATATGATCTTTCGACCAGCACACTCGTCTGCTCCCTTACCTATGAAAGGAATTAATTTGAATGTTTTTACAAGTTTGAGGTCAAGAAGCAGTGTTAGATTTTTAACAATATCTCAACCATTCATTATAAAATTTTACGGTACGTACGAAAAGGAAAATAAATTTAAAAGTAAAAATATTCAATATTGTAAAAACAAATCTTCTAGAAAAACAGAGGCAAAGGGCTGGTTGGGCTTAGGAGGCTCAAAATTTAATCTAAGCCCTACATCATTGCAGTAAAAAAAATTAATTTCTTAAAAAAATCCCGAAATGAGCAACGCAATCACAATATCACACTCACCTTGCAGATAGGGCAGCAGCTTGCACATGACCTCCCCGAAGACAAAGTCCCGCAGCAGCGTCCCGACCAGGGTAAACGGCATACAAAACACTCCGAGGAACAGGTCCGACACAGCCAGATTGAGCAGGAACAGATTGGTGATGGTTCGCATCCGCTTGTTCTGCACCAAGGTGAGAATAACCAACGAGTTGCCTATCACAGCCAACAGAAATATAACACTGTACAGGGGAATCTGGACCCGGCCCGTATCGAGCAGATAGGCCAGAGTCGTTGTCGTTGCCGACGACGTCGTCGTCGTCGTGGGGTAAGACGGAGGAAACAATCCTCCGGGCACTGACAAGTTTCCGGATATGGTTACGTTATCGCCGCCGATGGCCGTTGCGTTACTGTTCCATTCGAGGACGTCACCGACCAGCCACTGGTCGACGACAGACGCATTTCCGATTCCATTGTCCAGTACGGACTGCAATTCACTACTGCTACTCATATTACTACGGGTGGATAATATCTCGGACAAACAATACGTTAATACGCGCGCATATATTTATCACAATTTAGCGCTCTCCCTTCGGGAAAAGCGAATTCAACACAACGCGAAAGATGATGATGATGATTACGAATCCATTGGTTCGCTGTTTCCGTGGGTCCGTTGATCCATGATTAACAGAATGAACGGAACACAGTTACACAACCACGTACAAATCACTCGCGAGGGAACGAAAGATAGGAATTTGATTGCCTCCTTCCAACCGTAAAAGGACCGAGATAGAACAACGATTATGAATGGAGCAATATTTACGAGCACTAACACCTTATCACAAACCGTGCACAACCAAGCAGGCCGGGACGGAAATCTACGATTGCTGGGGTAATAAATTTATTCGCACCTATAAATTATCTTCGGAACCAGCCGACACCAACGAACGTTCAGCCCCCACCGAAACCTCAACCGGACGTGACACTCGCGTAGGACAACCGTCGTAACCGGTTCACAGTCGCTGATAGACTGACAGACGGAACGCTCGTCGTTTGGGTGTTTTGTTTTGAATCCTTCCGAGTCGGCAGATAGTTCCGAAACTCGCCACCGAATGACGCCCGCATCGCCGGCCCCATACGGTCTTTATCAGTACACCCGACGAAGACCAGACGCATGCTCCCTCCCAAGGCCTGCTACGTACGAAATTTCAACCACTTTCATTGACCCTAACCTAGAAAACAGCAAGAAGGGAATTTGGGAAAAGCCGAATGGAGCCGGAGGAGCATTGTCATTGAGAAAGCCACAACCAGCAGTCAAGAAATGGGTTGAAAAAGGAGGGGAGAGGAGGCGGATCGAGGGTAAGATACGTGTTTGTCTTCGCAAATTGGCCGCTGGAACCACGATTTGCAGCTGTTGCGGAAATGCGTGTGTGTGTCTGTGTGCTGGTGTTTGCTCTTAGCTTTGAAATCACATGAGTAGTGAGATATTAAAGCGAGGCTATTCCAGGAAGGACTTGCCAAAAAATGAGTGTCCATTAAGCGATTTTGTTGTTGGATCGATTCCCCGGTTGCAAAATGTTCGGTACTTCATTTGACGGTCTTCTGGGAAGTCTCCAACCTCAATGGAAGCTTCATTCACTGATGTAAATAGTTAGTGAACATTTCAACTTCAAACTGATGAACAGCCTGATTTTCAATTCATAAATGCTGAAGCTTACACGTGCATGTAAATTTATAAATTTGTTCGATGAAAAATAAGTAATTTTAAATTGAGATTAACACTGTTTTTCACAAACACCAATAGATGAACACTTAAGTCTTTTTTTACGACGATTTTCAAAATAACGCAGTTTTTTCCACACAGTTTTTTTTTAAATAACACGGTTAAAGTCCAAAAATTCTAAGTGTTTCTGAGGAATGGACTTAGCCCAAGGGATAAGTCACTCAGCACATTATGCCGAAATTAAATTCCGCACAGCTTGGGCACATCCATCCAGATCTAAATACGTAGTTTCAAGAGTGGGCTCAAGAGCAAGAGGCAGTTAATCACCCCCATTAGTACCCTTAATTCAAATAATGCTGAAAATCGTACAGAACAAACTAAAGAAGTCTATTCATCATCCTCTTTAGTCGGTCTCCAACAATGCTCCCCACCGGTTTCAACTCTTCCCGGCCGCTGACAGACCAATGCTTTTCACATCACGAAAGGCTAGGTTTCTGGTCTGCCTTTGGGGCATTATAGAAGACTAAAACATAGGACTTTTCGTACCCTATGAATACAAAACACCAAAATTTCGCACTTCCGCCACTTCCCGCGTCATCCTCAATCCGATTTATCCTTGCGATTTCAATCCAAAACATTCAAGTTGTCTGAAATACCGGGTTGCCGGGATTATAGATACTATAGATTCCATAGATAAGCGGAGACAAAAAAAAGATGTTTTGGGAACCATGAAAAATAAATGATTTTACTGGCATCTGTGTGCAACCATTAATCGAGGAATGGTTTGCTTTATCTATCCTTCTAGCGTTGACTGACAGTTCGTTTGGCTACATTATACTTTGCCTCCACTTATCTATGGAATCTATAGTATCTATAGCCGGGATGGGTATTTTACAAACAATCGCAGCTTGCTATATGACCGGCACAATCGGCACACCTGCGGCACACTGACAAAAAAGATGACCCAACATTGTGTGCGGAGTGACCTACCCCTTGACATAGCCAAAAAAAGAACAAACTTGGAAGTGTTCTTCGACTGAGTTCACCGAACAATATGGGTACATATGTTCGGAACGGGAACGACGTGTCAAACTTTCTAAGCGAATCAAACCAAACATTGTGTAGTAGTAGAATTTCGACTAGAATGGGATACTTTAATTGTTTGCTTGGGACCAATAGTCAAGTAGTGAGCCAATTTAAAATCGTTAGTTTCGTATTGATTGTTGGTAGAGCCGCTGCGTTGAGCTCCAACCTTGGTAGCGACACTTGCTTGAACGGAGCCACCCTGGTTTTGGCGACCAGGAGATTCACGACTATGACGCCAGCTTCGTTGTCGTGACCTCTAGCATACACTACCGCAGCGTAAGCCGTCTCCGATGCATCCGCGAATCCATGCAATTCGATCTTCTCATTGTAGTTGGGTGCGAATCGAGGGATGCGTATCTGCTCCACTTGATGTAGAGTTTCCTTGATTTCAAGCCACGCTGGTTCGACCGCTGGAGGTAGCCAATCGTCCCACGCGAGTTCAGTAAGCCAAAGTTGGTGAGAGCCATCCGAACGGACCGAATAGCTTGCAGGAGGAATCAGAAAGAAGCTGCCGTTTGGTGTTCACGCTGTTCGGGTTCAAGCTGACCTTGAACGAGAATGTGTCCTCCTTGGGTAACCACTGAATGCCGAGTGCCTTGACTGCGTCTGGTTGCTCTGCTAGTTTCACATTGGCCGGCGCTTGATCGTCCAACGGTGCTTCCTGGAGTAGTTCCGAACAGTTAGTGGTCCAATACCAGCGGACTCCAAAATCTCCACAACTTGCTCCTTCAATTTCCTCGCTTGCAGACAGAAAATCGTCGACGTAGGTGTCGAGCTCAATCCTCTGCGCAGCTTCGGGATACACTTGATTGTATTCGCGGGCTACTTGCTTCATGGCTTCGATCGCTTAGTACGGAGCGCACTTGGTTCCGTAAGTCACGCTGCACAACCGATAATGTTTGATTGGTTGATCCTCCGATTCACGAAACACGATCCTCATGTAGTCGCGATCCACCGGGTGAACCATCACCTGGCGATACATTTTCTCTACGTCCGCTGAAAACGTCACCGGGTGGGTTAGGAAACGTAGAAACACCGAGAAAAGATCCTGGTTGACGTTGGGTCCCGCCAGGAGTCTGTCGTTGAGCGAAACGCCAGTCGACGACGCGCACGAGGCGTCGAAGACCACCCGCAACTTAGTCGTCCTGCTTTCGGCCTTGTGTGTGGAAGGTAGAAACACTTGCTAGTCTCTACTTCCAGTTCGTCCGGTAGCACCTCTTCCATGTGCCCCAGCGCCAGGTATTCACTGAGGAACTCCGAGTACAGCGTATGGAATTCCTCAACCTGTCGGAAACGTCTTTCCATCGATCGCAATCGCTTGACGGCCGAAGTGAGGGACTCACCCAGCGCCGGCTTTGAATCATCGAACAGCAGTCGCACGATGAAGCGCCCATTTTCATGCCGTGTACAAACCTGCTGAATTACATATGTTTCTAATTTTTCTGTAATAAAACTTTTGAAAAATGTACAAATGATAATTTTATCACTGTTTTCATGAAATAAGCGTTTTTTTTTCCAAACCCAGTCATCGTAATCGAGCACCACTTGGTTGCACATCGTTCTGAAAAGATATAAAACAGCACTGCTGTCGCGCTTCTGCTCAGTAGTTATAAGTAGTCTCCTTTTTCCAATTCAAATCAAACCAATCCCACCAAGGTGGTCATACTTTAAAATAGGCCTGATAGGACTAGGAACTGTAAATAATAATTAAAATCTCAAATGTACTAAAGTTGAAAAGACGCATCTGTGTCACTTGAAAATTCATACATGTAAACCACACAATCACAAGAAATAAAGATAATTTAAACTGGTAAAAAAAAAACGCTTCTGCTCATTACCGCTTCGGACGGCGTGGCGCTTGGTCAAGTCAGTCGTTAAAGGTGACTTGGGTCTCGTTCGACTAAGGGGCTGTTCATTAACTACGAGGGGGGGGGGAGGGGTGGCGGGGTTAAGAATCCCAAAAAATTGTCTACGTAGCTAATGAACAGCCCCTAATACAAAACCCGGAAAAGTTATTTATGCAAAACACCCCCCCCCCCCCTTACAAGGACAACCTGAAAAAAACATGGACGGGAAATAATTGTTAAGCAAACTACAATGCAGTAAAAAAAAACTACAAGGGACAGCCCTATGGGGTTGTACGCAATGGTGACGTAGGACTACGTGGTCTTATATAATAAATGGTAATGTGTAACTTTATGCAGCCAGGTATTAATCTGAACCATATTTTAATTATTTTCCTTACCTCATTTTCATATTTTCATTTTCTGTTCTATTTACTATCGTACAGATTTCTCTTGAATCTGGTGAAATATTGCTTGGAGCCAATTCCCATGATTGTGCTGGATAATTAAAATTTTTATTCAACAGATTGCGTTCAACGTATCCACATCGTATAATGGCCGCACCAAGCAGACTGCTCGTAAGTCCTCCGGAGGAAA